GTTAAGTTTCTATAGATGCTGTGTTTCCAAAAAGAGACTATCAATTTCTATCACAACTCCAGACAATGAAACAATGTCATAATCACCAAAAGGCATTTAAAACTGCATAGTCAAACTGTTACAAAGATTTGCTCATTAGTAAAACTCACTCACTTATCTGTTTCAGTTGCAAAATAAAATATTTCACCTAAGTTGCCAGGTGAGTCACATACCAATTTAATATTACTATTTTGATTTGAAATCTCACTAACATTTATTTATTACATAATGGAGGTGACCATTATGGGTATCTATTACCATGATGACAATACAGTATAAGTGGTTCTGGGCCAGAATCAAACTAACCCCCGGACTCCTCATCCCCCAACCCCCTCCCACACATTAAGCTGTTTGAACTTGGCAAGTTATCTAACATTTGTGACTCAGTTTCTTCATTTGTAAAACAAGGGAAATAATACTGGCTACCATTACAGGCTCTCTGTGAGAATTAAATAAATTCATTTAAAGTTCTTAGGTCTAACACATAACAGATCTTCAATGAATAGGTATTATTATTACTCTACCACATTTTAATAAAGTAGTATTCAGCAGTTACTGGATACACAGGGCTATTTTTCATGATATCAATAGTTCCTGACAATTCTCCTTTCCAACTTGTATTTGGTTTTAGTTTTTGTAACTTTTTGTCATCAGATTATTAATTATTACATGTCTGATTCTTAACTACTCCCTCCCCTGCTTTTGAATTTTGGCCATTTATGGGTTTATTATAACTATGTCAAAAGCAGGGCCTCTATATAAAATTGTTCTGTCTACCATTTATAGATCCAGCAAACAGGTCAAGAAGGGGCTTGCAAGCCATGTACACAAAGGGCTGTGACTTCTCAGAGGGGACTTTTTTCCCCTCCCACAAAGGCTTTTTTTCTGATTCACATGAAGGTACCCTATAGGCTACAGTTAGCCCTGGATGAAAGAACAGGCAGGCTCTGATGAAAGGTCCAAGAGGGCTGCCTATTGGCAAAGGGCCTAAGTATTAGTCTACAGACTATCCAGAAGTCTTCTTGATCTCTTCTGGAACCTTGGCTGAATTCTGGATAGCTGCAGTTGCCAGATAAATGATGTGTTAAGCAATTTAACTGAGCTACTTATCATAACATCCAATGCACTAAAATCATCACACTAAAATCAGCAGTAAGCAATTTTGAGTTACAACAAAGCCAGCACTTCTTGAACTATTATTTACTTACAAACGTTGGGAAAAACACCCTTTTTTACCTTTAGCCTCTAATTAAGTATAATAGTAGGCTGCTTGCGGTCCTACTCACAAATAGCTGGGTTTAGAAATCCTGTAACTCCGTGGGCTGGTTTCCTAAAACACAGCACAATTCTATCACGCCTGAAAACGAGCACTGAAACTATACCCTATTCCCCAAACATAATTCCTAGGAAGGCAAATACTTCCAGGCCTTCAAAATACAAGCTGATCCCATGTAAACTCACTTGGCCAGAGTCTCAGGCTTGATGAGGATATTAAAGTAGGTCTTCTTCAACTGCTCAGTTATCATTGTGAAGACAGCTGGTGTGGAACTGAACTCCGCTAAGTAGTCAATAATAAGCTGAAATAGTAGCTAAGAAGAAAAGAAAGAAGCACTTTAAGTGGAGAAACATGGAAATTTGCCAAGTTTTAGGGGGGAAATATTTCCCATTGGTTTTTACCAGGGGTTCAGTATGGTAGTAGGCATTGTGGGAGAGAAGTACTAATGACTCAAAGAGTCTTTAGGGGCTGAAGTCCTCAATAATTGTCTGATTTGGAGCAATGAATCATATTTTTAAAATTTTTCATGGGTATTCTTAAATATTTTTTCCTTCCAACTAAACTGATCCCTAGTTGTAACATTAAGTTGTAACACTAAGGCTATTAGGTAAGTATCATAAAATGAGAAACCTCAAATACTTTTCTGTGATTTGTATTTTTAAAAAGCTCTTCAGGTAATTCCAAAATATACTTCCCAAATGACAACTATTAGGCTTCAATCTGTCTGGATTTTAAGCGACATTATATTTAGGCCTTTGAAGGTTAATAAAAGTAAAGTATTCCATGGTGTCTCCTCCTAAGAGCAATCCTTGTTCCCTGGGGAGACTGACAGGGGCAAGGGTACAAAAGAGAAACTATATTCTTCTCTAGGGTTTTTGCGAAGATATGGAGGCCATTACCTCTCAGCACAAGTCTAATTTCTGCCAGACCCTCTCCTCCAGATTTTTCCTTGCAGGAACCCAATTCCCCAAACCTTAATCTATGTTCTGCCCAAGAAATCAAGATATAAAATTTGTCACTGAGTATATAATATTATTTTACTTGGTACTTAATGATCTAACCCAGCATCTCAAATTTCTTTCTTTACTTATGAAGTTTTTGACAAAGTGACACTGAAACACATTCCTTACCAAAAGATAAATTACTGACTTTAAGATACAGAGTCTGCTTCTAAAGGATCATAAACTTAGAAGGGAAACAAGATACATATTCATAGTGCATACAACACAGATTAATGTAATTAATGAATATATGTTGCTCTTATGTGTGGCCAAAGTTATAGAATAGCTGTTGTCAGCCCAATAATACACATAATAAAGCACAATAGTACACATTAGTAAACATTTCTTTCTACGTACAACACCTCACGCACAAGTCTCTCTGCTTGGTGCTGTATGTGCAACAAATATAAATTCTCAAATTTCACTTTTAAAGCTCTCTACAAAAAAAACAGAGCGCTTATACTTACAGGTAGTTTGTGGTTGAATCCTTTCACTCGAATAATTAAACCATGCTCTCCAGCTACCAGCTTGTACTCCAGCTGTGCCACATCTGCTTCATAAGCTGGTTCCGCGAGGTTATGGGTAAGGATATTGACAAAGATATCAAAGAGGACCACACTAAGAGTATAAAATACAAATAGCATCATTAATTGGCAAGAAACAGACAAACAGATTTGCTTCAATTTAGAGTGAGAAACTTCATTTTTAGAAAGATGTTAATTCACTACTCCAGACAGAATGTACAACTGTGTATTAACTGAGTTCAAAGGTAAGTACAGCTTACCCAGGGCTCCCAGTTTCACAGGAGCATTAGAGAACTCCCATTTCAGCAGTGTCTACCTTTTTCATGTCAAGCACACACAGAAAATTTATACTGCACAATAGATAAGTGTAAAATGCATGGAAAGACAACTGGCCCAAACGTTCTGGCAATCCCTGCAGCTTAGGTTTTCTGACTGACGAATTAAAAATCTGAGGGAAGGTAGGAGGGTGGTGCCATTTTTTAAACTGAGTATTAATAAATATTAGTGCTGCATGACATTTTAAGGCTGTATCTTACAGGTTAGGTGGCAAAGGAAAGAAAGAAGCACACTAACATTTCCTGAGCACCTCTTATGATTCAGGCACATTTTAGTCTCTCTGACCTGCCACAACGCAGCTATCTACATACATATATAATAATCCGCTAAGAACAAAGTATAATCAGATTCCTTTGCCTGTCTCTCAATACAGGATTAACAGATTTGTTAGTCCACATCATAGACTGGAAGCTAACCCAAACTCATCTCTAAGGAACCTTCTCAAACCAGTAATTCAATGACTAGGCCTGCACTGTCAGCATGTTTTACAAATGTGTGCTGGAGATGGAGCAACCACAATTCCATTTCAGTGATTAGGATCAATAATTTGTTTGGGGCACAGAAAAAAACACATAAACCAGGAGCACAGCTCAAGCACTAACAGAGAAAATGGTAGAATGACTGAAACAACAAAATAGTTTTTTAATAATGATAAAAATATTTTCCAGAAAAGAGGACAATTTCTTACTTTGCTGCAGACTTCTGTATCAAAGGTGAGATCAGATGGAAACGTATATATGCTGAAAGAAAAAAGACCTTAAATAAGAAAACATAGGCCAGAGGCCTCAAATATTTAATACATCTGCTATTTTCCCCTAAAACAATGTTTTTTTTTAATTCTGAAATAAACTACTAACCCTTATATTCTCATTACATTTTTATCATTAAGGGTCTTTAGAAAGTAATATTTACCCATTCTAAATAGTATCCAGAAGGCACACTTTAATCCATGAGAAGACCAGATATACAGACAGACTCAAGGGCTTTGGTCAGGGAAAATGTTTCCAGAGGTACACATATCAAGGGACAGGGAGCACTCCCAATGCTCACAGAAAGTTATAGCAGAGCCTTTCCAAGGAAGCTGAATAAATGTTAAGAATATTTTTAGAAACTCTTACAATCTATTCAATAAAAATTGAGTAAAAATCTTCCCAACAAACTCAAGAATCCCTCAAAGCTATAGTCCAGTTGTGTTAAGGTTAGGGATTTGGGTTAACTGGCAACCAAGAATACTAAGCCTTTGGTTTCAAGTTGCTTCAGCAAGTTCCCATGCCATGCACAAAAACAGAAAAGAAAAAAGCAACACAGCTTGGGCTACCATGTTGAAGACAAGAACTTTAGTCTACTTAACTGTGTACTACACTTCCTTTGTGCTGAAAAGCAAAATGGTAGAGGAAGAGAGACAGAAGATACATTTGTAATGCTGGACTAGGTTATCTATTGTGTCTAAGAATAATTTCCTTCAGCTTACTCTTACTCTGTCTCTTTTTAACAACAGTGTTCAAAAACACCACCCATTCCCTAGGATGGCCAAACACCCGGATCTGCTTTCATATAACTGAAAGAAAAATATCCGAAAATAATTTCATTTTAGGCTTGAATCTTTATTTCCTGGAATCTGCAGTGTCTATAAGAATTTCTGTGATACCACAGGAGCACAGAATCGATCTGATAAATTAACCTAGAAAAGGTCTTCAAGTGGAAGGGGAAAGAGAAAGGAAGGGAGGTGTTAGACACAGGGAGAAAATGTTGCTACAAAGTGGAAAAAGACTTGTTATACTTATTTCACTGCTTTTGAGGGAAACATTTTACCTTTGGGGATTTTAAATTTGTTGTCTTTCTTATACCATAGGCAACCTTGTGGAATGTCCACAATTTTAACGGGGTATTCTGTCTCCGGACAATCAAAAGCCTTCAACGTGAAGTCCGTGGCTAACAAAAGGAAAAGGTAATAAATCATTCAGGTATTTCAACAGAATTCCCCGAAATCTGTTCTTGATTTCCAAAGTCTAAGAATCTTCTTTGTGGCATAATAAACCAAATTCAAATGCTGTAGCACAATAAATTAGTAGAACAATACTAAAAAGAAAGTTCCCTTGACCTTAAACTAAATGAACTCTGAAGAGCTGTAATTTCCCAACAGTTGATTGTGATCTCTCCATAATCTGCTTCATTCCCTTTCTCAGAGACAATCTAAACTGTAATTTGTATAAACCAATTTACAAATGAATTCATTCTTTTTTTTTTAATAGTATGTACTCTTCTGTGTTTGGATTTTTATTTATTTTGTTTTGTTTTGGTTTGGTTTGGTTTTGGGGGGAATGTAATTAGGTTTTTATTTATTTATTTTTAATGGAGGTATTGGAGATTGAACCCAGGACCTCGTGCCTGCTAAGCACGCACTCTACCATTCAGCTATATCCGCCCCCATCAAATGAATTCATTCTTGAATGAGAATGTATTTTACCAAACTTACAGTCTTTTGAAAGGTTACAGAACAGTTCTGTTGAAACAACATTAAATGTGTCCTTTAAATTAATGAAAACATAAATTGTTTCAACAACACATAGGTGCAAAATAGCTAATTTAAGAATTTTTAAAAAGGGACTGGCTATATTCATTAAAAAGAAATAAGCTGTTTAGATACTTCAAGTTTTAAGATGTAAAACTGAATCATCTAAAATATGCAAGACTTTTTGTATAAAATATAAAAGCACTTTTCCCCTAATTTAGGTTAGATTCGTATAACATGAAATTAACCATTTTAAAGTGAACAACTCAGCAGCATTTAGTACACTCACAACAGCGTGCAACTACCATTTCCTTCTAGTTTCAAAACATTTTCATTACCCTAAAAGGAAACACCATACCTATTAAGCAGTCAACTCCCCATTACCCACTCCCCGCAGCCACTGGCAATCATCAGTGTTCTGTCTCTATGGATTTACCTATTCTGGATTATTTCATGTAAATGCAATCACACAATATGTGACTCCTTGTGTCTGTCTTCTTTCACTTAGCATAATGTTTCAAGGTTCATCCATGTTGAAGCATGGATCAGTACTTCATGACTGAATAATACTCCATTGTATGTATAAACCATAATTTGTTTACCCATTTATTCACTATGGACACTGGCTATTTTTACTTTTGGCTATTGTAGATAATGCTGCTATGAACATATATGTACCTGTATTTATTTGAGTACTTGGGTATTTTTAGGTATATACCTATTTTGGGGTATACTCCTAGGAGTGGAATTGCTGGGGAAAATGGTATTCTGAGTAAATCAGTTATATGCAGCTTTAACCTTTGACCTAGACCAATGACTTTCTCATAGGACTGTTTTCCACTGAAAGCTAGTAGACAGACAGATACACACTCACATGCCTACCGGGAAAAGAAGTTCTTTAAATAATGCCCTTTTCTTTATGCAATGAAATACTTTGCTATTTTCAATTCTAATTGATTTTTTTAAATGCTTTCACAACCCATTACACTGATTTCACAACCCTCTGATGGGATGCAACCTATAGTTTGAAAAACACTAGAACAACCAGACAGGATAAAGGCAATTCCTACAGAGACTGACATGAAAGGATCAGCGATGATATACCAAAAAAGGCAAAAGCTTCAGAGTCCCAGTATCCATATTTAAGTCCTCTTTCCTCCATTCACCAACTGAATAGTCTAAGACAAGTCGCTTTGCTTTTCTGAGCCTTAGTTGTCTCATTTGAAAAAGTAAGAAAACTGTAATGCTCATCCCAGAGCATTACTGGGAAACTCAAATATGAATTCAAATGTTATTTTATAAAACATAACGTTCTATACTGGTCCTATTTGTTTTACTAGTACATGGATGGATTATATAAAATGATTGCTATTTTTACTGACCTATGTACTTGTTTTCAGCTGGAAGGTGAAGATCTGGATTTAATTCAAAATTACTCTTCCAAAGTTCAGCCCAAGAGTTTTCAATATCTGTAGAAATGAAAGACAAACTGATCCAATAAACAATGCAATGTTCAGAATTCTCTTAATAGCAAACCAGTCAACAACTGGCCTTCACAAATCAATTCTCCTTTTGCAACAAAACTGTGACTGACATAGCCAAGAATTCTAGACTCTTGCTACTCATATGTGTGGTCTCAACAGCACTGTTATCACCTGGGAGCTTGTCAGAAATGGACAATTGTAGGCCCTACCCCAGAGATACTAAATCATAATCTTTATTTTAATAAGACCTCCAGGTAATGCATATGCACACTGAATTCTGAGAAGCACATTTCTAAAACATAGTCAAAACTCTGCCCCCAAACTACCAAGATAACAGGATTTTTTTCACTAGCTTATAAATTTAGATATAAACCTAGCGGAAAATAACTTCCTGCAAAGTAGTATAAATAATTTTCATTTCAAAGGAAACATCAGAAAAAATATATGACTTGTTTCCCACAGGAACCATCAGACAAATTATTATGGAATGAAAATTCATAGGTGAGTCAGATACATCTAAATGTAGGACAATTTTTAAATATCTTACCTTCCATACTATACTGAGTCCCAAACCACTTCTCCTTGAGGTCACACTTCCCCTCATTAGCACCAGACAGTAGAACAAGATTTGCCTTTTGAGGAACTAACTGATTAAGCGCTTCAGCAATGACCTAATTGGGGGTTGAGGGGAATGGAACATACACATAACAAGTTCAACTTTAACCTAATACATCTCTGTTAAAAAGCCAAAGCCACATTATATTAGACAACCCAAGACCCTACCATCTTGATGTTCATGAAACTATTTACGGTTCATGGACACCCTAATTTACAAAACTTCATTAGTCTATTAGCTGTTTCAAATGTTTCTTCATAATGCTATAGATAGTACTCATCTCAAAACCTACATAGTAATAGGACTAACAGTAAAAAGAACTAACATTTTCTAAGCTTGTACTGTGTGCCAGGCAATGTTTAACATACGTTGTTTCATTTAATCCTAAAAACAGCCGTAAGGTATAAATTTTATAGAAAACACTGAGCCTCAGAGGTTAAAGACTGTCACTAGCTCAGGTTAAAGATTCTGTAATTTGCACAGAACAACACACCTAGAAGTGGCAAAAGCGGAGTTCTAACCAAGTTTGTACATGATTCTAAAAACTATGCTCTTAACTGCTATACATTATATTACTTCATATACAAGAATCAGTAAAATGATCCCAATGTAGGGCCTCTTTCAATAATCCTTCAGCTACGATAAGGACTAAACATAAGACCATGGGTTAGGTTTAAAACCGTAACTATCATTTAAACACCATTTCTTTGAGAAAAAAACAACAAATAGTGGTTCAGAAAAAAAATACTTGGATCCCTGGGCACAACCACCCTATGGAGATGACAAAAATGTGTGGCTGCTGCTTCTTCCTTTAAATTTCCCAATCCTCTTTAAAATTAGTAGTTTTAGAATACCCTATATCAGGGGGAGGGTATAGCTCAAGTGGTAGAGCGCATGCTTAGCATGCACGAGGTCCTGGGTCCAATCCCCAGTACCTCCATTAAAACAAACAAACAAACAAAAAATGAATCTAATTACCACTGCCCACACACTAAAAAATAAATATATATATCAAAGTTTCTCAACCTCAGCACCGTTAACATCATCTCAGGCTGGGTAATTCTTGTATTGTTTGTTCTATGAGGGGGAGGTAATTAGGTTTATTCCTGATTTCCACTTGGAGGAGATACTGGGGATTGAACCCAGGACCTCTTGGGCACTGAGCATGCGCTTTACTACTTGAGCTATACCCTTCCCACTGGCTGGCTAACTGCAGAACATTTAGCAGCATCTTTGGATTCCACCTACTAGATGCCAAGAGCACTCCCCAGCTGTGACAAATAAAATGTACCCAGACACTGACAAATATCCCCTGGGGGAAAAATCATCCCTAGTTGAGAACTATTACCCTGTATGGAATAAAATGACTTATTCCCCAGGACTAGCAGAGGAAAGACCCTGACCAACTATTTATTTGTATGTAATACTGTCTATAAGTCACATACTTTGAATTCAGAGAATCTTGTATTTTTCTTGTAAATATGTTCAAATGATTAAAACTTAATTGTCTTTAATAGAATTAAAAGGTTAGTTAAATAAATCTCTAAGTGTCTTTAGCAATTAAAGCACATAATTCTTAGGAATGACTTTAAATAACTATTTTATAGAAGTTTCAGCACTTGAAAAGTAGTGAAAATATTACCTAAGAAGAGGTCTTGATTTTCTTCTCATATTAAAAGAGTCAAACACAAGAATCATGAAAAATTACCCACAAAACTAGTGATATTTCTTCTGTTTAAACAAACAAAAACCTTGGAAACAGACATAACCAAATTTTCTCTATTCCCACAGTTCTTAAGTACATCTCTGCACTATCTCACCCTCCTCTTTCTCTACAAGTAAGTTTTAGAAATGGAAATCTTACTTCTGGCTTGTATTCAAAAAGAAGCTGATCTCCAGTGAGAAAGTCCTGTAGTGGGTACAGCTGCATATTTTCACACAGATTTTCCACATATTCAACTGGATCTGTCTGTAAAGAAATAAAATTACTTCACACCAGAAACTTCCTATTACTATCCTCAATTTGCCACAACATATAAATACTTAGATTTTTTAATAAACAATGAGACCAAAAGCTTCCAAACAGATACAACAAGATATAATTGTAGCTTAAGGATCTGATGCTCAGAATTCTAAAAAAAATTTAGCCAGAGCTACTACCTTAAGGAGCTTAACCTAACACCCTTCCAGTCCCCCACCATGAGCCCTACAACACACTAGGCTCTAATCACAGCACAGCTTCTTCATGAGAGAAATTACAACACTGAACTATACGTGCTTGTTTACATGTCCAGTGCCCAACACAACCGAGAAGTTCCCAAAGACAGTCTTCATCA